CCACAAGTCTGTATTCTCTGTCCATGAGTCTATTTCTGTCCTGTATTTATGCGTTGTTTTTGTTTTTTAGATTCCACATATGAGCGATCTCATATGGTATTTTTCTTTCTCTTTCTGGCTTACTTCACTTAGAATGACATTCTCTAGGATCATCCATGTTGCTGCAAATGGCATTATGTTGTCGGTTTTTATGGCTGAGTAGTATTCCATTGTATAAATATACCACTTCTTCTTTATCCAGTCACCTGTTGATGGACATTTAGGTTGTTTCCATGTTTTGGCTATTGTAAATAGTGCTGCTATGAACATTGGAGTGCAGGTGTCATCCTGAAGTAGATTTCCTTCTGGATACAAGCCCAGGAGTGGGATTCCTGGGTCATATGGTAAGTCTATTCCTAGTCTTTTGAGGAATCTCCACACTGTTTTCCATAGTGGCTGCACCAAACTGCATTCCCACCAGCAGTGTAGGAGGGTTCCCCTTTCTCCACAGCCTCTCCAGCATTTGTCATTTGTGGATTTTTGAATGACGGCCATTCTGACTGGTGTGAGGTGATACCTCATTGTAGTTTTGATTTGCATTTCTCTGATAATTAGTGATATTGAACATTTTTTCATGTGCTTTTTGATCATTTGTATGTCTTCCTTGGAGAGTTGCTTGTTTAGGTCTTCTGCCCATTTTTGGATTGGGTTGTTTATTTTTTTCTTATTGAGTCATATGAGCTGCTTATATATTTTGGAGATCAAGCCTTTGTCGGTTTCACTTGCAAAAATTTTCTCCCATTCCGTGGGAAGAAAACAAAAACTTTTAAGGAAACTTTTCAAATGAGAAAGTAGTTGGAATATTTGGAAGGAGATGAGACCTAAGTATGGATAAATATTAGTAGTGACATGTAGATATTTCTAAACATTTAGTAACACATTTTAAATTGGAAGGAAAGCTGGAAAGAAATTCCTTGCTCCACTGTGCTTTAGTTCTAGAACAACTGTCCAGAGGCAGCGACTCTATTTTTGCTTTTATTTTCAGTTCTTATTTTTATTCTATATACTTAAATAATGTTCTGGTACTACTATGTCTTGATTGGCCAGTTTTTTTCTAATCTGGGAAACTGTTTTATCTGGCAAGTTAGTGCTTTTGTATATTTGAAATGATTTCTACAATCTTATTTTTTGATTTCTTTTATTCCAATGCTTTTTTTCCCTTTCCTCTATCCTTTTCTGATCTTTTGAATTTATCAAGATTTTATAAATTTTCTTATTTGCTTCAACTAGTTGTATATTTGCTGGCTACTTGTCTTAACAAACTTACATTGACTGATCTTCCAACACTGAACCAAATTTATAATTAACATAAACCAACTTTTCTCACAATTCTTTTCATATATTGCTGTTTCTGAGTTGCGAATACTTTAGGTTTTTGTTTTGATTTTTGTTTGTTTGTTTTTTTAACCAACATTTTTGGGATTTGCTATCTAGGCGATTGCTAATTCTTAAAATTGGTTAAATCAATTGAGAATTGAAACACTTCTTCAATTCTTTAGAAGAATTTGTGTACATTAAAATTATTCTCCCTTAAAGTTTAATAGAACTCAGTAGAAAAATCTAGCCTGGAGTTTTTGTGGTAGAAAGTTTTAAATTACTGACTTGAGTAATTTAATATTAAAATGTTTTAGGAACTTATTACAAATTAAAGTGCTTTTGTCTGTCAAATCTGTAATGTTAGCTTCTTCCATGAATGACTAAACTTGTTGTTTCTCCCTCTCTCTTCATCAACCTATTACTTTTAAGTCTTTTCAATTACTTTTGACTTTGTTGACCCTCTCTATTTGATCTCTGTTTTGTTAATATCTTCTCTTCTCTTTCTTTGATATTATTGATCTTCCGACTTCTTGTGATGGATTCTTAGCTCATTTACTTAAAACTATACAGTTTTCTCTACATGGTGGTTTAGTTGCATCCTGTGAATTTAGGTATGAAGTATTTGAATCTTATTCAATGAAGTGGATCTGAGTGGAGCCAGAGGAGGTCTGTGGTGAATGCTGTGATGTGCTCCCTGATCCCCCTTCAGAAAGGAATAAGCTCACCAGTTGCTGAGAGCCCTCCAAGCAGAAATCCTTCCCCTCCAGGCCCCCTGTATCTACCACCTTGACTGTTGAGAGCTGCCTGTGCAAGGTGATGCTTCCTTCCCTGGGCACCTGCAGCCAGTGCCTGACTGACCTGGGCTGTAACTTCCTGACCCTCCCTCACCAACTTGGGACAGCACTCAAGGGTCAGCTGCAAAACTCCCCTTAGAGTCAGCTCAGGTTTCTGCTGCTATTTCATCACAGCTGTATCTCTCCTGTCCAGTATTGTTTTCTTCCCTTTCTTCCCTCAGATACTGTTCTGGAGTACTCTCTAAAAATTTTCCGGCAGAGTAATCTCTGTGTCATTCTTCTAGAGAATGACCTACAAGAAAAGGCTTTCTGGAGGAAAGGATATTCAACCTGAGAACTAAAGAAAGTGTGTATAAGGATATGTACAATAAGTACCAACAGCTCACGTGGTTGGAGAGTAGGTGTGTGCATACGTGTGTGCGCTAACGTGGACGGATGGTGGGGAAGGATGTGTTATAAGAGATAGAACGAGAAAAGCAAGCTTTACCTAAATTACAAAGGCTCTTATAATCTACCTTGAGAAGTTTGGGGTCTTGCATCCCACCAACAGTGCTGTGGCTGTAGGTGCTAGGCACTGTTCACTGATTAGAAGAGCTAGGTGGGAACTCTACCAGATAGAATTCAACAGTATAAAGGGAGACAGATTTCATTCAAATAGTAAAGATATTATCATTTTTTGAAGCATGATAGCACTTAGCCAACAACAAATGTTTGCAGAGAAAATGATAACTAAATGATTACAGAATTTCTAACTACCTAGTTCCTCATTAGAAGTCCATTTCACTGTTGACTTACCCGGCAGAATTTTAGACAATGTTTTTGCTCTGTTGGGGCCATGCAGCCTTCTACTCTTATGACTTGCAGGCAAATAGCACCCACTGGGAAAATTCTACTGCACATTGTCAGTTTTCAGATATGCAACCAGATCACTGCTGTGCTTTATTAAAGGCATAAATCTGAAGTTGTGCTGAATATGTACAAAGGAAATTTGATTTGTACATCTTTATAACATCAAAGAGTTACTCCAGTTTCCAAAGGCAGCCTACTTACTGTCTCATTAAAGGATCAGCACCACAGTAATATTTTCCAATAGGTGATATCTTTGACAGGTCTGTGTTTCCCATGTTTTAAATGCAGTGGAGAATTCAACAGAATCATAAATAAAATCCAAGCTAATACCTACTTCTTCAGTTGTCAATAATTCATCAGATATGGGAAAATAATGATTTTATTATGACAAAAAATCCAGTTAAAATTAAGCTTTTTGGATAGAAATTTCTTTCTATAAGTATTTAGAGAATCTAAGTAGAAGTGGGTGACAGAAGGAGAATGAAAAGAGAAGGAAGAGAGGAAAGTGAGGAGATATCCACCTGTGCTTGATTAAAGAGAAAAATAATGATGTTTTTCTAAAGATTTGAATAAGCACTTCAAAGATCTGCCACCAGCAAAAAAGTCAGCAGAGTCACTTTGATAATGAATTCAGCTAGGAAAGCAGCAAATCCTGTTGCATAATACAGGACTTCAAAAGCAGTGTTGCAACTCCTGAGTGACATGCTGTTAACCTTACCAGTTCAGTGTATCCAGGAGAAAACAATGTTTGTGTGTAAAGTTTCATGAAAAGAATTGGTAGGCACAGGGATATTTTGTGGTTACATTCACTTCAGAGCAGCTGCTGCAAGAATTAAAAGCACAAAAATTCTGTAGCCCAACACAAGAGAAGTTATTTCTCACACATAGAGAAATCCAAGGATGATTAGTAATATGTTCCCACCTACCTGCAGTGGAGGCTGGGAAATTTAATCTGTGTCTGCGAAGCCACTTTTCAATGTCATCTCTGGGCTCTGGCAATTTTTAGTGAGCAGTTGACTCTCTTCCATGGGAGCCATCACTGTCTTCAGAAAATAGCAACAGATCCCCTCACCCCTCTTTTTAAATTGAGCTATAGTCAGTTTACAATATTGTGTTAATTTCTGGCGTACAGTATACTGATTCAGTTATATATATATATTCCTTTTCATATTATTTTCTATTATAGGTCATTACAAGGTATTGAATATAGTTCCCTGTGCTATACAGTAGGACATTGTTGTTTATCTATTTTATTTATAGTAATTAGTATCTGCATATCCCAAACTTCCGATTTATCCCTTCTCAACCTCTTTCCCTGCTGGTAACCATAGTTTGTTTTCTATGTCTGTGGGTCTGTCTTTGTTTTGCAAATAATTTCATTGTGTCTTTTTTTTTTTTTTTTTAGATTCCACATCTAAGTGACATCATATGGTATTTTTCTTTCTCTTTCTGGCTTACTTAGAGTGACGATCTCCAGTCTCCACCCATGTTGCTGCAAATGGATAGTTCCCCCTTTGTTTTACTTTTCTAATAATTTCTGCATTGGAATGCACAGTTCTGATCTTTGTCCAGTCCTTTACGTTCATTTAGAAATAAAAAGGATTCTATTCAGTTCAATTTAACACAAATTTTTGTACTAAATATTACAGGGATCTAAGATTGTTGAGGCACAGAGTCTGTGAATATTAATAGTGAATAAACTATTGTTAGGATCCTCAGGGAAAATATAGAGAATATGTTCTAATAATATTCAATTTCAGTGCAGAGCTGTGCTAGTCTCTTGTAAGAGTGTGAGAGGTTTACTTTTTTATATATATATTTTAATGAAACACCTTTCATTGAAGGATCAATTGTCACAAATTGTCCTGACATTCGAATTGTTTGTTTATGTCACAGGTCAATAAATGAAATAAACTTTGTGAGATTTTAGTGACTCACTAAAGTGTAACCATACAGAGACCTTGATATGCATCAAAAATGTCTGACTTTAAAGTAAAGGCTTCTCAATTCCGTCTTTCCAAAGTGGAGGAATAGCATAAGGCAGACTCAGAGGAGCCAGTGTTAAAATAACATAACACATGGGGCCAGTCTTTCATTGACAACTAATAATTGATAATTTCTTCTAATGAGTTTTAGCTCAAGAAGTTTCCCCTGGACTAAGGAGGATGGCAAGTCCCACAACCACAGCACACACAGTAAATAGGCCTCACCTCTATCCTTACTGTCTATGCCCTTCAGTTCTCCACAGGCCAGGTTTAAAACTCCTAATTCTACTCTCATCCTTTTTGATAAAAAAATCAAATGCATTTTGGATCTTCATATGGAATTAGATATTGTAATGGAAAGAATGAAACCCAAAGGGTCTGGATCTGCCATTGTGTAACCTGAAATAGGCATTTAACCTTCAGAGTCTTAGTAGTTTCCTCATGTGTGAATTCAGACTTTCAGATTAATGAAGCTTCAGTGGCCTATACACCCTGTTTGGTGAGTCTATTATTCTAACACATTTCTGTGTAATTATGTTGCCTATGCAGGGAATTCCAGTGTAAAAAGAAAGTCCAGTGGATATAGACTATTTCAATAATGGCCCTTTTGTTACTTAGATGTAAATTTACCTACTTGTTCAGTTTGGAAATCAGTTTGCTTATGCTACCTTCTGTTTGTCTTTAGCTTCTTCTGTGCTGTATCTTTCTTATCCCTATGAATGCAAATTACTGACTACCTGAAATTTATTTTATAAGCAACAAGCTTAAAAATTTGCATAATTCTTATGTTTGGCAAAACTCTGCAGAGGAAGATAATGTATTGAAAAGAAATAGGCTTGGTTTTGGGAATACTTCCAATTTTGATTCCTTGGCAGGGTTGGACTTCCACTGGAAAATAAAATTAGCCAAAGCTTTAGCTCAAAATCTTTTGAAAGATAAAGCTATGGGGATTACTCTAATGTATTCAAGGTGTCCATGTACTTTGAGTACAGCTAATAATAAGCTCCTTGGAAAATATGATGAAGACACTGGCAGATTATCAAAGTTCAACAAAATCAACTTCATGTACATCCAAGACTACCATTTCCAAAATAGGCTGGTGGATTGAGGTTTACTGTTTCATTTGGAATGGTAACTATCAGAGTGTGGGAGGCACTTTTCATAATCACAGGGATGGGACAGTAAGCTTTGCCTCCTACATTCAGTATGTGTCCTGATGCTGCTTTGTCTTTGCATCTGAAATTCCAAGTAGCTTCCTCCAAAGCAAAAGGCCACCCAGGAGCTGGAATGAAAGGAGAATGGTAAGGAATTTGTGGTGAAATTTGACTGCAGTCCCCAAAAGCCCCTTTCCTGTATTTGTAATGAGTATAGAGTAATATTTGAGTGCTTATAATGGGATGGATATTCTACCCACTAAACTCGGCCTCTAGGGATTCTGGAATAGCATTGTTTTCTTCTCAGATTGACTGGGCTTCAGAAGTGACAAAAGAAATTTCTTCACTGTTCCAAAATACAGAAAAACTAATAGAAATATTTCAAATCATGAGAATTTTCCTAGTAATCTAGCTACATCTAGGATTCATAGAGAGGGCTTTATTTTCAGAACTGACGAAATAGACTCTCTTTCTATTCAGGAATTATATAACTTCTAGCAGTCGTTTTCAACTAAAGAGGTGACGTGAAGATTATATCAGTCACTCGTGACACTTTTTCAACTCATGCATTCTCTTCTCTCAACAGGCACCATTTCTCCCCAAGATTTTGGTGCATTCTTGCCCATGGGCAGCACGGCTATAATCTGTCACTGTGATTAATAGTTACTTATAAGAGTGGGTTGTGGCTCCTAGATTCTGGAGTGGGAAAAAGGTTGAGAAACAGCTCATGTGTCTTGGAGCAATGCTTCTTGACAGTATCCCGAGTTCTTTGGGGATTTATGAAGTTAGTAACGGAGATCTGTAGGTGGTGTTCATTATTTTTTAAAACAACCTTATGGAAACTATAAACCTACTAACAATAAAGCTGCTCTAGCTGCTGGATAAAACTTTGTCTCTTGCTACAAGCTGAAGTTGTATCAACTCATGGTGATGAGCTCGCTATCTCCAGCTGTTGGGAAGCTCTTCATGAATGCTTCCAAATCCCTTGGTGAATAGAAATGGAAAAATGAATTTCTATTTAACTAAGTATGGTCATTTGATACATAGACTGTTTCAAAATATAGAACATATAGAAAAAACTAATTAAAAGGGCATGCAGCATCTCAAAGTTTTGGCAACCACTGGCCTCAAATGAGATAGAATTATCTCAGAAGAATTTCTACTAGGAAATATCTGTTGATTTCTCTTTAATCAGTAACTTATTAATAGTAACATCTGTATGTATGTTATGGCACAGATATGTATATTGTTCTGAAATAGAACTAGAGAAAGAACATCAAGTCTATTAATTAGGGAGAGGGTTCTCTATATATTGATAGCTGTAAGCACTTATTAATTTTAATTATGACCTTTAAAAATTATTCCAGTTTTATTTATCGTCAGTAAATTTGAATTCCACACCCTTGCTTTTCCTGGGATGGGTGCCGTGGGTGGTGAGATTGTGGGAGGCTCAACTTTAGAATGCATTTTTACAAAATTACTCTCATCAGTAAGTTCTGGGTGTTACATAAGGTATGAATGATTGACCTCAAAAATATATCTGCAGATATGATTCTCGTTAATGTAGTTCTCACTACTTTTTGTATAATGGTTGATAAATAGAGTCTGGACATTTGGATCTCTTTCTTTCTATTATAGAATTAGTAAGAATTTCTATTAGCCACCTATTAGGAAAGTTGTTGCTGAACCAAGAAAATCATAAAGCAGAGATAGGAGCCCTTGAAAGCGACCAGGCTTTTAACTTTAAAGGAGCAGAAAGCTCTTTGTCCTTTTCTCTACTTTCTTCATAATTCCAATTAGAATTAGAGGCAGAAGGACAAAGAGTGGCAGGGCTCTGTTAAATGGCATTGAGGAACACGGGCATAAGAAGGGTGACGTAGGTTCAAAATGAACAAATATGTGGGTCTGTTGGTGGGATCTCCAAGGTATCAGCAAGAAAACAATGAAAGAAGGTTGACTTGCTGATTTTCCTGGAAGAAAGATGTTGTTTAATTCTGAAACTAAAGCGCATTCTAGAATTCTGCTTTTTCAAACAAGAGTTAACAAGTTCTTGAGACTCCTGGTCATCCTTTTAAGTTGCTCCAAGAAAGAGCAAAAATACATTATAAATAACAACCCCAATCCATTAGCATACTTATTTAACAATAGTTTGGCACTCTTGCAGTGACTCTGGGCTATATCATTTCAGTGTTCAGTTGGTGGTCATAGCAACTCTTCAGTCAGATTTTAACAAAAGGAGGTTGGGCAGAGAAAGAAAGAAAAGAAACGAAGGATGCCAAGCATTTACTTTGTGAAATAATACTATAGGGATTCATCTTTTTGAAATCCCTTTCTCATCTCTGCCTGCTTCCGCTGTAAAGCAGGGAGATGAGTTGGGAACTTGAAAGTAGTTTGACATCTGTCCCACTTCCTGTGTCTAACATCGCCCCTTGGTCAGAGTGTGCTCTAGGCAGACAGCAGAGGGGAGGAAGCCCAGAGCACAGCAATCAGAGAACCAGCACAATACAGAGCCTTTATTCTGTGGCCCATCGAGTCAGAGGGCTCTGTCGGGAAGGGAGTTTGTCAGGTTTACAGGTGCTGCGAGAACCTAGCAAACAGTGGCAGGGGAAAGTCAGAGATCATTGCATTGTCCGTCTGTCAGCAATTCCAAAGTTACCTTTCCCCTGCTTTGAACTTAGTGAGTTTTTTTTTTATCCTTTTTCTTCCTCCCCATCACAAAACTCAGTGTAGTGCTCTGTATGCACATTGGCCTCTCAACAATTGTGGGCAGGTTGGAAATATGATACATTTGAAATAATAGAATGGGACAGGGTGAGGATCTAACGTAGGAACCCTAACTGATGAATGGTCTCGCTGCTGCCTTCCGAATCCTCCCTGGTGTTGGAGCAGGGTTTGCTTTTGGCAGGGCCGTTCCTGTGAGGGGTAGGACTACTCACAGACGACTAGCTTGCAGACTCTCTCTTGCCTGAGAACTTTTGGAGCTGGGCCGCTGCATTAGACCCTTCCTCCCAGCCCTCCTTCCTTTCCCGGGTCCTTCCGCAGGAGTCGGACCTGCAGCGCCCTGTGGAGGTTCCTCGGCTCCTCCCCTTTGCCCCACACGGGGGATTTTCTCCAGTGAGTCTCTTGCAGGTTTAATGCTGTGTTCGCAACTGTTCCTCAGAGGAGTTGAGCTGAAACAAGGGAAAGAGACTTTCTCCCATGGTTTAGAGCTCTACATTAGAATGTAAATAATGTGTTAGGAAAAAACTAAGGGACAAAAAGTAGATACTCAAGTGGAATTCCAAATTGTGCTTGGTTACCCTCTCTCCCTTAACCTTTTGCCTCTTCGCAGCCCGCTAGCAGGGGTTGGCCATTATTTCTGTAAAAGGCAAGATGGTCTCTGCGGCAACTACACAATCTTCCACTGTAGAGTAAAAGCACCCAGAGACACCTTCTAAAGGAATGGACACGGTTATGTTCCAATAAAACTTTTTTTTTAAAAAAAACCAGTAGCAGGGCTTATTTGACCTGTGGGTCCTGTTTTGCCCACCCCGGGTCTTTCAGGTTAATATTGGAGATTTCCTTTGGCTGAATTATTCAGTTATTTACTTAGGCCCCTGGAAACTGATCATTTAAAGCTAAAAAGAACAAAGAATCTGTGTTCTGCATTGGTATCTTCTCCATTAGAAGTACCTCACCCTACAGACAGCATTCAGGCTCTTTCCTGGGGAGCTCGTGAGTGTCACATGGTGCTCACTCCCCAGATCGCTTTCATTTGCTTACAAATTTGCTAAGCACTTCACTTCCTATTCTGACAAAGGAAACTTCATTTTTTTCTTGTTGCTGGAAATTTTAAAGCTGAAATATAAGAAGATGATGACTGCATCTTACAAAAGCTTCTAGCAACTACAGTAAGAGTCACCATGGCAACTCACATCTTTTTGGATTAAAGCATTTTGGAGTAGGAGTTGATGAGAAAAAAAAACATTGCATGCAGCCAACTGAGATTTTGACTTTAGCTAGAAAAATACCCTGGGGTTTCCCTAGATGTGTAGGAGTTGGGAAGCAGGAAGCAGAGCTGATAAAGGTCCCATATCAAGAACAAACCCAGATAAGAGGTCAGTCAATCAAGTGGCCAAGTACGCTGCTGCTGCAAATGAGATGAGAAGGTTTTACTTCCCTGATTACGCTTAATTGGTGGTGACTTTCAGTATTTTGTTTTATATACTTAAGGTCACTTTATTTAGATCCTTGCCTGGATACTATACTTGGATTTTCCATTCTGGAAGAAAGGATTTGGAAAAGGGCACTGGACCTAATGGGATTCCCTTTGGCACTTATTGTTCCAAACTTTAAGACAGAATAGCAGGAGATGGCCTCGGCTCTTGAACAGTGATCTGGGATGGTGGCAATGTAAAGCTTGGCCTTTCTCTTGAGATCTGTGACTCAGAATGGACTTCCAAGCCATCCCTTTGTCTCTTGGCACGTCACCCTGATCCCTTTGTCCTTCCCTCCCTCTTCATTCTTGTTGAGGACTAGCTAGCAAAATAAGTAGTAGGTGATAAAGCTTCATTTACACAAAGCCTCTTAAAAATAGTATCAAGGGGGCGGGGTAGAGGGTGGGAAGGGATAGACGGGGATTTCAAAATTGTAGAATAGATAAACAAGATTACACTGTATAGCACAGGGAAATATACACAAAATGTTATGATAAATCACAGAGGAAAAAATGTGACAATGAGTGTGTATATGTCCATGAATGACTGAAAAATTGTGCTGAACACTGGAATTTGACA